CGCTCTACCACTTGAGCCACAGCGCCACTTCGGCTTTTTTCTTTTTGCTTATGTGGTGCTGAGGAATTGAACCCAGGGCCTCATGCATGCAAGGCAAGCTCTCTACCACTGAGCCACCTTCCCAGCCCCTGCCCAGCCCTTGCATGCACCTCTAGTGCAGCCCTCACCGGGTGCTGGCACTGTTCCCATACTCTTGCCTCAGCTCTGTCCTTGTCCAGGAGGTGGCGCTGCCGCCCTTGGTTCCTGCCGTGTGCAGGCGCACTCACACATGCTCAGACACACGTGCGCACGTTATCTCCCTGGGGAGGCCAGTAGAGCACGCGTGCTGCGCCTACCTCACCAAACCCAAGCTTATAAATAGACTCGCTGTGCCCTGTACGCGGAGGGAGATATAAATACCTATATAAATTGTAGGCTCAGCCGGGCACGCTGGGCCTTATTGGCTGGGGAGGTGGGGGCGGGGCCTGAGCGTGTTCCAAATGGGGTAGCAAAGTGGCGGCTGCTATTTTTGTCCTGGTGTCTGTGAATCCTGTTACTGTAGTGGCCATGCATCGAGATGAAATTGGAACTGGCTGTTGTGTTTTTCCCCCCCCAAAACCTTGCAATTTCACCAGCTGTAAATAGAGTTTCTAAAACTGAAGCTGTCATGATGTCCCGTGACCCAGCTAAAAACTGCACAACACTTGCGTGGCCGTGCGCTTGGCTGGAGGGAGCCGGGCCCTAGAGACTGCAGGGTGGCAGGGCCTCCTGACGATGCCATGGTGCTCCCTTTCCCCTTACACCCGCCCTGCCCGCCCGCGGCCCCGGCCTCTGCCACACCCTCTCCCATGGCCGCTCACTGCCACGCCCCTGCCTCGCGTCTTTCTGGCCCTGGACACCCAAGGACAGGGCTCTGGACCTCCATGCCGTGGTAGCTCCCGGCAGAGTTGAGTAAACCCGTATGAAGCAGTGCTGCGGTGAGGACTCGCACGCGCCTCTCTGGTCCATCGCTGGCACCTCCCTGGCCCCCTCAGGCTGTGTAGGACGTGTGGGGCATCTTGGCTGTGGCTGGGACTCTGGGGTCCGCCCCTGGGGTTGTCCCTTCTGGCCTTGGGTCCCTTGAGAATGCTGATGCATCCCAGCCAGCCCACCTCCCCACTCATTTCACTGGGCATGCTCAGCTTTTGACACACTCCTGAGCCCAGCTGTAAGGGGCCAGCACGCCCTTTCCCCGCCGCGACGGTCCTTCCTGCTCTTCCCCGGCTCACCTCCTCTCCCTCCCGACAGATGGGCTCGTGAAGAGGCTGGAGGAGCTAGAGAGGACTGCAGAGCTGTACAGAGGTGGGTGGGTGGTGACCCAGCCTGGGCCAGGCAGTGCCAGTGTTGCCCAGTGCTGGCTCTGCCTCAGGAGCTTTGCCCCACAGAGGGCAGCCGTGGGGCTGTGGGAAGTGACTGTGGGCCTGGGGTCCAGTGAGGCCCTGGGGGTGGGGGGCGGAGGCAGGGTTGAGGCCCTGGGGGTGGGGGGCGGAGGCAGGGTTGAGGACCTGGGGGAAGGGAGGGGGTGGGGGTGGTGTGCCCCTGCCCATCCTGTCTTACTGGGTGTCTCCCACAGGGATGACAGAACACACCAAGAACCTCCTGCGGGCTTTTTACGAGCTGTCCCAGACACACCGGGGTAATGGCACCCCAAGCCTACCATGTGGCCCCAGGCCAGTTGCACCCCTGTCGGGGCTCAGCTCCCCCCCCCACCGCCCACCCAGTGGCAGGCCCTTCCCTGGCACGCTGGCCGCATGCGTGCTGAGACCGCCAGCCAGGTGCCAGGGTGGTACGGTGGGGACCAGGAGGGCATCGGGGGCCACCCCACCCCTCACACGGCCACGTTTGCGTGGCCTTCCTCATTTGGGGACGCATTCATGTCCCCCAAGTCCTGTGGCTGGGCCGGACAGCCACAGGGAGCCCCGTTCTTGAGGGGAGAGGAAGCCCAGGCTGGAAGTAGCCACGGCCTTTTTGAGGGGCGGAGCAGCCTGGGACAGCTTGCTGGGGTCTGGAGGGCAGCTTCCGGGCAAGGCTGTGGTCTCCTCTGTCCACATCGCCACATGTCCCCATGGATGTAGACCCCCATGCTGACCTGTCCCCCAGCCTGTCAGGCCCCCGCAAACCCCTGGCTTCTCCATTAGGGGGTCAAGTAGGGGCAGCCTTCAAGGCAAACTTGTCATGCAGCCTTTGGGGACGTGTTCTCTGTGATTGGGGTACGGGAGCCCCAGCCAGCAGCCAGCGAGGCTTTTGTGAAGTTTGCCGACGCCCACCGAAGCATTGAGAAGTTTGGCATTCGGCTACTGAAAACCATCAAGCCGGTGGGTCCCGTCGAGCGCATGCGTCGAGTGTGTCCATCTTCCGAGGGAGGGGAAGGCCGAGTGGTGTGCAGGGCAGAGTCCTGTGCTGCAGGCCAGGTGCGAGGTGGCGGTTGTGGCTTAATCACCCACATGTCGCCACCGGTGGGCCCTGCACCACCTGGGCGCGGTGCCAGCGCTGTCCTGCCACTGGGGCACTGCTTGCCTTTTCCCTCAACGAGACACGGGCATGGCTGGCAGGCGCACCTTTGGCTGACAGCTCGCATCCGTCCGTGGGTCCCCTGGCCACGCACGTCTGTGACGTCTGAGCGGGCCTCCCTCCCTCCCAGATGCTGACAGACCTGAACACGTACCTCCACAAAGCCATCCCCGACACGCGCCTCACCATCAAGAAGTACCTGGACGTGAAGTTTGAGTACCTGGTGAGTGGGCTGCGGGCTGAGCCCTCCACGCAGCTGGCCTGTGGCCGCCAGCCACACGGGGAGGCAGGGGTGGGGGTGGGGGGCCAGAGGCCAGATCTGCTCTCTCACGCACAGCCCCTTAGGGGTCTCGTCAAAAAGTGATCGCCGTAAGGCGTTGATGAGTCCTGGAGCCCTGTTGTGTGGTCTTAGGAGCTAAGGGAATGCCGTGCCGTGCCCCCGGGCACCCTTTGCGCTAGGCGCCTCAAACCGGCCAAGGGGCTTCCCAGGACAGCTGTGGTGGCCATGGAATCCCTAACACCCCCCCCCTTTGTGTTTGGCTATGCTGGGTGTGTTCTGCCACCTCCTTGGGCCTCCAGAGCATCTCTTAGGGGTTGGATGCCCTCACCCACCTGCTGCACCCTCCCTGGGCCTCCCTGTGCACTTGAGCTCTCTTGAGTGGTACCCAGCATGGCTGCTGCCCTCTGGATAGGCCAGGCTTCCTGGGTGGCCAGGGGGCAGCTGGGACATGCGGATGGCCATCCAGGAGCCCAGCCACTGACTGCCTGGCCGCCTCTGCCCCACAGTCATACTGCCTGAAGGTGAAGGAGATGGATGACGAGGAATACAGCTGCATCGTGAGTCCGCAGGGTGAAGGCCCCGCTGACGTGGGGGATTCTGGGGAAGATCCCGGGACCTTCTTGGTCTGCAAGGAATCTGGCTGAGATCAGGCCAGCCTAGGGGCACCTGGAACCTGGCTGAACTCTTGTTCGTGTAGTTGGAGGCACTCCATGATCCCCCAGCCTCTGGGCTTCAGTGCTGGCTAGCTTCCCCCGAGGCCCTCCCCGGGCTGTCCTGGGAGCCCCAAGTCCGCAAGGCTCCTGCAGGGGGAGCCACCCCATCACCCATCATGTGCCTTCCTGTCCTTTTTGCTCTCAGGATGGTCCTAAGGCCAGTGTTCATTTATTTAATACCATTGTAATGGGCTCAGTGTGGTGCCCTGTGAGCTGGGCCCGCCCCGCAGCCTTCCTGCTCCCCACCCCCATTCTGTCCTGACCCCAATGTGTCCCCTGTCCCAGGCCCTGGGGGAGCCCCTGTACCGAGTGAGCACCGGCAACTATGAGTACCGGCTGATCCTGCGCTGCCGCCAGGAGGCGCGCGCGCGCTTCTCCCAGATGCGCAAGGATGTGCTGGAGAAGATGGAGCTGCTGGACCAGAAGCACGGTGAGGGCCGCGAGCCAGCCTTTCCTGGGCTAGAGGTGGGAAAACAGCCCAAGGGGGGTAAAGTCTCCCCAAGGTCCCAGGGCCAGGGACTGGCAGGAGCTCATCCCCTTCCCATGTCCCGCCCTGGAGCCGCAGGTGGGGCGTAGGCCGCGCCCACCTCTGCCTCTACCCAGGCCAGGGCCAGGGAGGTGCCCGGGTAGGAAGACCGGAGAGGGGGTCCTGCAGCCACCTGAATGCCTTCGCCCCACCCCAGTCCAGGACATCGTGTTCCAGCTGCAGCGCTTCGTCTCCACCATGTCCAAGTACTATAATGACTGCTACGCCGTGCTGCGCGACGCCGACGTCTTCCCCATCGAGGTGGACCTGGCGCACACCTCGCTGGCCTACGGCCCCGACCAGGGCGAGCTCACCGATGGCGAGGATGAGGAGGACGAGGACACGGCCCAGGCCCCCCAGCAGCCCCGGGAGACGCGCGGGGCCGCCGGGCCTCTGGACAAGGGCGGAAGCTGGTGTGACTCCTGAGCGCTCCATGGGTCGGGCAGGGCAGTGGGAGGACCCCGCGGGAGGGGCAGCGGCTCTCCGCAGGGCAGGGCAGGGCAGGGCAGGGCAGGGCGGCATAAAGGCCTGCTGGCTCGGCTTGGGGCGCCTGCCTCCCTGCTCCTCTGTCCTCGCACAGCGAATCCGGGCTCCTGCCCAGGACAAGCCCCAGGGCCTCAGCCTGGGCCCTGGACGCCGGCCCTCACCCTTCCCACCTCCCCGGCCCGGCCTCAGGAAGGACAGGGCAGCGAGGAAGAGGGGCTGGGCCCGAGGTGCCGCTCCGTGTGCTCCGGCCTGCTGCGAGCGGGGCGGGTGGACGGCCAGGCTGGCCAGCCTCTCACGCACACCTCCAAGGCCTTTATTTATTTTGTTACTGGGCTCAGTCACTTCTGGAGAGGGCTGGGCACCGGGCTTCATTGAATAAACTCAAACCCAGATAGCCCGGCTCCGCGCAGTGGCCTCAGCCCCTCCCTCGCTCCCTCCCTGAGCAAGGGGGAGGGCACACCCCCCTCCTGTGAGTCTCACAGCCCCCTGGGGAGTGGCACCAGCTGCTGGGACAGGAGACCCCAAGAAGCCACGTGCTCAAGGCAGAGTGGGATCCGAACTCAGAACCCAAAGCCTTGTCACCTGACCCTACGAACCCATCTGGGCTGGATGTGGGAGAGATCTTTATCTGAGGTGGGCAGACACAGGGCCAGGGGCTCAGCCCCAGCTGCACCTGTACCCTCCGCCAGGGCCACAGGGCAGCTCTGGAGATGCCGCCCTGGGCTGTCCCAGGCCCTCTGCTCCTGCCAGAGAGAATGCGGGTGTCCTGTGGGGGAAAGGAGCAGAGTCCAAAATGGAGAAGCAGGCTTCTGCCTGGCAGCTGTAGACACGTGCTTCCGGGCAGGCTCGTAGTGGGGAGGGCTGGGCTGGCTGCGGGAGCTGCAGGCATCCCTGGAGTATACCCACTGGAGAACAGGTGCCGGGCATGGTGCTGAGCACCTGGCTCCCACATGCTCCCCCAGTGTTTCTCTTCAACCTGCCTGGGTGCGAAGGAGGCCTGGTCCCAAGTCAGACCACGGTCACGCACCCTTCTTTTTTTTTTTGAGGGGGGGGTCTGGTCATGGGGCCTGAACTCTGGGCCTGAGCACTGTTCCTCAGCTCTTCAGCTCAAGGCGAGTGCTCTACCACTTGAGCCACAGCGCCACCTCTGGCCTTTTCTGCTTATGTGGTGCAGCCTTCTTTCTTATCCAGAAGTGATCCCCCCTCCCCAGCCCCCCCTTCCCAGGGGGAGGGGCTGCCGATGCTGGAGGAGTCAGAAGCAATGTCTTTCAGCTGAGCTTTTATGAACTCGGGTTCCTGAGCATCCACCTTCCTCGAGGGGGGGGGAGCGCCTTGGGAGGATGGCCAAGGGGTCGACGAAGCCCACAGGTCTCCAGGAAGGACCGTTTGGCCAGGACCTCTGAGTGGGGAGCCACCTTCCCAAGCCCAGGGGCCAGCCCACCCAGCGCACTACACACACTCCTCATGGCCGGGCCTGGGCTCTGCCTCCGCCTCCAGTTCCGGGGACCCAGCGAGGGGGCTCAGCATCTCCAGTGCCTCCAGCCTGCTGGGCATCTCAGTGCTGGCAGGTGGTGGGTCAGAGTCCCCTTCAGCCTCCACCTCAGCCTCCTCCGTGTCACTGGCTCTGCCCTCGGAGGCTGGGCTGGCCGGGGCATCCTGAGAGCGGCGGCGGCGGAGGCAGCAGAAGGTGGCAGCTGCCATGAAGATTCCAGCCAGGGCCACCTCGGAGCCGGCCAGGTAGAAGATGATCGCGTAGTTCTTCAGTGCATCCACCAGGCGGCCTGGGAGGGGTGGTGCAGAGAGGTCAGGGGCCTGCCAGGGTTGGACCCCTCACCTGCAGATATGGGGTGCTCCTGATTTCGTAGGGTACACTGGTGACATTTCCTTGTCTATTTCTGTCTTGGGGAAACCTCACACGGATTCTGCCATTTGGGGCATCGTTGGTGATGTGAGGCTTTTGGTCAGGCAGCTCTTCAACGTGTGAAAGCCGCCGCACCCCCATTCACGCTCACAGTGGCCTGTGCCTGCCCGGCCTGTCCCGCCCTCCCGCCTGGCCGGCCTGTCCCGCCTGTCCTGCCCGGCCTGTCCCGCCTACCCGGCACTGTCCCTCAGCTCTTCAGCTCAAGGCGAGCGCTCTACCACTTGAGCCACAGCGCCACTTCTCTTTCTGTGTCTACCATCCTCCTGCCTCTCCCAGGGGGGCATGTGCACCCCGCACTGAACTCTGCACACGCTGGAGACAGACCTCAGCCCCTCACCTCAAACAGGACCCACTTCCTCCTCTTTCCTGAGGTTTCCCATCAGGTGCACACGTCCCTTCGTGCTTGGGACCATTCCCCCCCCTTCCCCCTCCCTCCCTCCCTCCCTCCCTCTCTCCCCTCCTTACCCCCCTCCTCTTTTACTGGGGAGCACATAGGACCTTATTCATGCTAAGCAGGCATTTTCCCAGTTCCTGGAAGTCACTTACCTGTAAATATTTTCCCCTAGGGTGTAGTTCCCCCTGGGGCTTTGCCCTCTCTCTAGGGACATTCTTATGGCTGCCCAAGCCAAGCTGTGGTCTCTGGGGCGGTCCCTGGTATCCCCGAGCCAGCCTCTAAGGGACACGGCCCTACGCATCCTGGATCCAGTCAGCTGTGGCTGCCTGTCCCTCCCCCACGCAACCCTGAGGGCTATGACACACCGCCATTCAGCCTGCAGCCATTCAGCCTGCAGCCTGGCCACCTGAGCCTGACCGCGCTCAGGCTCTGTTGTTTCACAGTAAGCAGCAACTCAGGCACACCCGTGTCCCCCATCTCCACCTTTCCAATTTTAGGTCCCTAAGCAGATCCCGTGTCTCCTCATACTGTGCCTTTCCCATTGGGATGCCCTCCCTGCCCTGAAAAGAGCGTGCCAGCAGTGGTGTGTGCAGGGAGAAGGGCACCAGGGCCTTTCTTCCCCAGCTGCCCATTGAACACCCCCACTTTGCTTGGAGCCCCCCGGGTTGACCCCCAAAGACACAGTCCCCGCCTTGTTGTGTGTGTGTGGAAGGGGCGGGGCAGGGGGGAGAGGAAGGAAGACACCAAAACATCGATACACTTTCAAGGTGTGGGCAGATCATGCTCTAACTCTAGGCCCACAGGTGTGCAAAACCTCCCGTGCCTGCTTCCTGTTCACCCCCACTTCACAAGGCCTTTGTGCCAACTGCTTGGGATGGCCCAGCGGGCCCACGCTATCTGTTCGTTTTTTCCTGGCATTTCCGTGGCTTTTCCATCTACACCCAGACTGTGCCTCAGGGAGGGGCTACGGACCGTGAAGGGGGCCCTGTCCGTCCCATCAAATGCTGCCCGGGGCAGGGAGGGGCTTCCCTTGGGGCGCACCGGCGGAGGGCGGTCCGATGAGCACGGCCACGGCCTCCACGAGCAGCACCAGGCCGAGCGCGCTGGGGAAGCGGGGCGCCCCCACGGTGGCCATGAGCACCTCGAACTGCAGCGCGCCCACCATGCCGTAGGAGAGGCCGAAGGCCACGCAGAAGGCCACGAGGGTGCCGTAGGAGCGGGCGTGCGCGCTGCTCAGGTCGGTGAGCCCGTTGGCGAGCAGGGCCAGGCTGAAGAGGTAGGGCACGTGGGGTCGCAGGCGCGCCAGGCCCGCCAGGGCCCCGCACGCCGGCCGCGCCACGATGTCCACGAAGCCCACGATGGACAGCAGGAAGGCGGCCTCGGCGTCGGGCACGCCCGAGTCCTTGGCGTAGTTCACCAGCAGGATGGCGGGCACGAAGAGGCCGAGCGCCATCAGGAACTTGGTGACCACGTACACGAGGAAGGCGCGGTCGGTGCACACGGCCACGTCCAGCAGGCGGCGGCGCGGGGCCCGGCCGGCAGGGGGCGCCGCGCGCGGGCGCGGCCCGGTGCCGTCCGCCGCCTCCGCCTCCTCCCCGCGCGCGTGCCCGACGCGGGGCGCGCGCGCGGGGCCCGGCGGCCGCATGACGGCCCCGCAGGCGCAGCAATGCAGCAGGAGGCCGCCGAACAGCAGGAAGCCGCCGCGCCAGCCGAAGCGCTCGAGCAGCAGCTGGCCGAGCGGCGACAGCGCCGACAGGAACACCGGGCTGCCCGCCGCCGCCAGCCCGTTGGCCAGAGGGCGCCGGCGCTCGAAGTACAGCCCCAGCATGATGAGCGACGGCTGGAAGTTGAGGGCCAGGCCCAGGCCTGCGGGGAGGGCGGGGCCGGGGCCTGAGTGCGGGACGGGACGGGGCGGACGGGGCAGATCGGGAGGATCGCGGAGGACCCAGAGGATTGGGGAGGATGGGGGAGGACGAGGAGGGTCGGAGAGGACAGGGAGGACCGTGGGGTGAGGAAGACCAGGAACGGTCCGGGAGGACGGAGAGGATTTGGGAGGACCAGGGAGGCTAGGGGAGGACGGAGAGGACAGAGAGGATCGGGGAGGACGGGGGAGGATGGGGCTGACGGGGAGGACAGGGGACCCCCGCCCGGCCCGCGCCGCCCCGGCCGCACCCGGCTCACCCGTGAGCACCCCGGCCGTCAGGTAGAGCTCCAGGAGGCGCGTGGCGAAGGAGGCCAGGGTGAGGCCCGCCGACGCCAGCAGCCCGCCCACCAGCATCACCGGGCGGCAGCCGAAGCGGGTCACGAGGATGCTGGACACGGGGCCTGCGTGCGGGACGGGGTCACCCGCGGGGCCGCGCCTCCCTCCCGAGAGCGCCGACGGCGGGGGAGGCGGGGGATCCCCGTCCATCTACCCGCGCGGACACCGCGCCCCGCCCCGGCCCCCGGGGGCGCAGGGAGCACACGGCCCCCCTTCCGGCCTCAGTTTCCCCCGCGGGTAAAGCCGCTGACCCGTGCCGTAGAGCATGGCCAGCATGATGGACGACACCCAGGCCGTGTCGCTGTAACCCGCGCCGAAGTCGCGCATGAGCGCGCGGAAGAAGACGCTGACGGCCTTGGGGAAGGCGTAGGCGAAGCCGGTGATCACGAAGCAGGCGGCCAGCACCACCCAGCCCCAGCCGCCGTCGGGAGGGCCCGCGCCCCGCCGCGGCCCAGCGCCCATCGCCGCCAACTCTGCTGGGGAAAAGGAGGGGGCCGCAAGGAGAGACCGGGGCTGGAGGTGGCAGGGGGTGGGGGTGGAGATGCAGAACTGCAAGGGGAAACTGAGGCCCAGGACTGACTACCCTCCAGAGCCTGGCTTAGGTAGTGGAAGCAGGAGGGGAAGTCAAGGGAGGAGGTGTACCCCGGTACCCCGAGTCTCCCCCACCTGTGGAGGCTGTGAGGGGTCGGGCGCAGCTCCCAGTGGGGCCTACTTGAGACCGGACTTCAGGACCGCTCCTTCTAGGGCGCTGCTCCTCTCAGGACCTAGTGATGGCAGGAGCAGCATGGGTGAGGGCGGGAGGCCAGCAACGCGATGTGCCCAGAGGTGGGGGGGGATTGCCAATGTCCCCACTGCACCCATGTCCCCAGAGACCCATGGGGGGGTCTCTAGACAACTGGAAATAGCAGGGCGATGCCAGCTTCCCTGGGCCCTGCCGTACTTTCCAACATCTCCTCAGGAGTGACTGAGGTGCTAAACCCTCACCACCACAGAGCGTGAAGTCTCAGAAGCCAGGGGACCCCAGGTCCAGCCATCCCTCCCCCAAGCTGCATGGCCCATCACCCCCTAGACCAGAGGAGAGGGCCGGATAGGTAGGGACCCCTGCCAGGGTACTGGGAGGGCCGCCCTCCACCCCAGGGCCCCCAGTCCCTCTGTCCACACAGTCTCACCGGCGGGCCTCCTGCTGGGGCTGGTGTGGGTAGGGATGGGGGGCTGGTTTGGGACCACCCCGCAGCCCTTGGGGTCTCCCAGCAGGGCAGTGCAAGGCCCACCGGCCCCAGGCTCTGGCCTTCTGCCCCCTCTCGCGGTGGTGTGAGGCCAGCGGCAAGGCGGGGTCCCCGGGAACCCATGCTTACCCGAGCCTGGCCGAGGGTTTGGGTGCCCGGTCCCCCATCTCCCAAGGCCGCCTCAGTCCCAGTGCAACTCCGTCCCCTTGCTTTCCCACGGCCGGCCAGGGATCAGCCGCTGGCCTGGTGCCCTCCCGGCCACCCCCCTCCCGCGGGAGTCGCGCCCCTCGCCCCACCCCTGCTAAGCAGCTTTTGCCCAGGAAGGGAGAAGGGGCTGGAGTGACCACAGCCCGGGCGGCTGGGTCTCTGCAGGGACAAGAGCCATGGAGACCCCTCTGCCTCCCGTACGGGGACCCAGGGCCCTGGCCAGAGGGTCCTGGTCTGGGGCCGGGGGCACAGCCCTGCCCTGGAGACCATGCCAGGCAAGATGGTGCCAGTCTGCCTCCCCCCCGCAACTCCCCCGCCACATTCCAGCAGGGACTCCTGGCTTCCCCGGATAAAGCTAATCCAGGACTGCGTCTGGAGCCCCGGGTGCAGAGAACAAAGGGCGCTGTGTCCCAGGCCAGCTGAGGGCACGCGGTGGTCCTGGCCGGGATGGTGCTCCACCCCTCCCTCCCTCAGGAGCAGGTGGAGATGGGGGCCGTGCAGCGTGAGGCCTCTGGGGTTCGGGATGAGGGGCGAGGGGCTGGGGGAGCGAGCACCCTGGGAACCCTCCATTCTCCATTGGGAGCCTGCACTCCAAGCCCCACTGTCCCCCCAACCCTCCATTCTCCATCGGGAATGTGCACCCCAAGCCCCACTGACCCCCAGTCAGACACCACAAGCCTACCGTTGCTTCCTTTATTTTTCCTTTACAAAAGTCCCAGGGGGAGCGCAAGGGCAGAGGTGGGGCTGGCAGGGCAGGAAGGGGGCAGGGAGCAGGAGGCCGGACCTCCCCCCACACCAGGAGAGGCCTAGCCCCTGGAAGGAAGACACTGCTGTCCCCCAAGTCCGCCTGCTGCATGCTGAAGAGCCCAGGTCCTTGCCCGGTAGCGGCTGAGGCCGGGGGCGCTGGGCATCGGCGGCTGGGCACCAGCGCCCTGCCATCTTGGATCTAAGGCGCGTGCGGCCTGGGCAGAGCTCAGGGAGGAGGCGGCTCAGCGGATGAGGGGGGCTGAGCGGTCATTGGTGACGGTGGGGCGCAGCTTCACGGTGGCAAAGGGGTTTGTGCCCCTGTGAGGGGAGGAGAGGCTGGGGTGAGACAGGGCAACTGGGCCCGCATCTGTAGCCCACCTCCCCCCTGCAAGGGGCCCCGCATCTGTAGCCCACCTCCCCCCTGCACGGGGCACCGGCTTCGCCCCACCTGCCTCCCACCCAGGGAAGGGCGCTCACCGAGGGAAGAGCTCTGGCGGGTGCTGCTCCCAGGCAGTGAGGGGCTGCAGAGAGGGGGAGGAGGGCGGGCGTGTGGGGAGGAGGGCAAGGGAGCCCCGGGGCCTCTCCACTGGGCTTTTGTTTTGCGCCAGTCCTGGGGTTTGAACTCAGGGCCTCAGCATGCTCCCTCCCCTCAGTTGTTCTTTGCCCAGGGCGAGTGCTCTACCACCTGAGCCACAGCACCACTTGTGGGTTTGTGGTGGTTAATGGTAAGTAAGAGTCTCATTGACTTTCTTGCTCCAGGTGGCTTTGAACCGCAATCCTTGGCTCTCAGCCTCCTGAGTAGCTAGGGTTACAGGCGTGAGCCACCGTGCCACCCTGGCGAGGTGGCGTCCAGCTCTGAGTTTCCAGGCTTAAGACATCTTTGGGTTCTGGAGAGGACCCGGCCTGGGCTTCCCGCCCCTCTAGGGTGCGGCCCCTGCCCACCGCCCCGGCAGCCGAGGCTCACCTTCACGTTGCTGACCGCCCCCGTGCTGCCCATGCTGCCCCTGCGGCTGCCGGGCAGAGGCGTGGGCACAGGGCTGGGGGCACGGCTGGGGACGCGGCTTGGGGTCCGGGAGCGGGACTGGCCATCCCAGTACTCGGGGGGCACCGTGGAGTTGCCCGGCTGGCCCAGGAGGTCATTGAGGCTGTGGCTTCCCCGGAGGGGGTAGGACCTGAGAGGAGGAAGCAGGGGTCCGGTGGGCTCAGTGCCACACAAACATCTGCCAGGCACTGAGCATCCCACAGCCTCCCCCCTGTATCTGGGCGGGGCCTGATCACCTAGGAAGGCCAGGGAGGGGCAGGGAGGACAGGGGAGTACACAGATAGGGGTGCCTGGCCCTGGCTGTCCAGGGTCTGTACCCCCAGGTACCTCCTCTCGTGGGCAGGGTCACCTCCCTGGGATCTGCGGCTGCCCATCAAGTACCTGGCAGGAAGCTCGTTCATCGGGTTTGGGGAGGTCATGGGGCTCGGGGGGCGCAGGGGGCTCGCAGGCGTCTCCTCCAAGGGCTTCACGTAGGCCTCAGGGAACCAGCCACTCCTGCAGGGCACAGGCGGGCCGCTGAGCCGGGAAAGCGACTCCTGGAACCCTGGCTACTCAGGAGGCTGAGCTCCGAGGATCTGGGTTTGAAGCCAGCCTGGATAGGAAAGCCCCTGAGCCTTATCTCCAGTGAACCACCGAAAGGCCAGAAGAGGAGCTGTGTCTAGAGTGGTAGAGCGCTGGCCCTGGCTGAGCAGGAGGCCCAGGGCTCAAGCCTCAGTACTGACATTGAAAACAAAAAAACCAACCCAGCTCCCGGAAGGCTCTTTTCATTTTGGTTTGGCTTTTTGGGGGGTGGGGTGGGGTGCCTGTCCTGGGCCTTGAACTTGGAGCCTGGGAGCTGTCCCTGAACGTTTTTGCTCAAGGCTGGCACCCGACCACTGGAGCCACAACTCCACTTCTGGCTTTTTGGTGCTTGATTGGAGAGAAGGGTCTCACAGACTTCCCTGCCCAGGGCTGGCTTCGAACCTCAATCCTCAGATCTCAGCCTCCTGAGTAGCTGGGATGACAGGCGTGAGCCACCAACCCTGGGTTCCTAGAGGTGCCCTGAAAGGGAGGGGCCATTTTAGCCTGGCTCACACCCATCTGCCCGGGAGCCAGAGATCTGCACAGTCTTTCCACACCCTCTCTCTCATCCCAAAGGCTCTTCAGGAACAGGTGTGGGTCAGTGGGGCCGGGGGAGGGGCCGG